ATTCTGGGAGTTGAAGTCCACTCATCTTAAAGTGGCCAAGTTTGGACAACAGTGCCCTAGAGAGATCTGGTTGGCCATGGGAGAAACCAATATTGTATTAGACTGGGCCTTGGCCAAATCAAGTTGGGCTGTTCTTATGTTCTTACGCATTCCTCTGCTCAGACGGGGATTGACAGAGTCCCCTCCAAAAATCAGCTGAGAACTGCTGTTCACTGTAACCCATGGACACTGTATGAAGTGGGCACAGATATTCCAATTCCTCCTCACCTCCCCATGATCTCAACTGCTACCATGGTTTAATTCTGCTCTGTTTCATGATTCATAATGGCTGTGTGATTCAGAGAACACTGGTATTCATGGGCTTAGTAATGCAGTCTAGCAAATACCTATAAGTGTTTAAATGCCCCACCCCTTGTATAAATGACCCCTTGCTATTAATTAGCACTGTGGACAGTCTGCAAACTAACCATGTAAATCAAAACTTACACTCCTCATGCATACTGAGCAGCTTTCTGAGAACAAACAACATCCGTTTGCAGGGGAAAGGGGAAGAGGTTAAGATCAGCATATGATTCTTTAGTGCACTGGATCAAAGGTGTTCATTTTGGAATGGGAGGAAGGTGCCGTATCAATACCTAAATTGTAGAGGTGCCTGCAGATCTCAAAAACGTATTTATGTGATCAGAGTTTATCATGCGCTTACCACCCAGATAATCCCATCCAAATGGGGAAAGGAGAGTTCCTGAAAAATCAGGGTTGTGGTAAGTTAAGCATTCTCCTTGCTGTCTACAAAACTGTCACACATTAAGCCAGTCTTTCTCAACCGTGGCAACTTTAAGAGGTGTGGACTTCAACTCCCAGAATTCCCCAGCTAGAATTCTGGGAGTTGAAGTCCACACCTCTTAAAGTTGCCAAGGTTGAGAAAGACTGCATTAAGCAGTTGCTCTATACAATCATTAGTAAGAAAAACTCCAAAGGGGGAAAAGGGGGAAATCTGTTACATTTCATACACACATAGGATGGAATTTGACCCCTTCCTTCTCTCCACTTGGCTCAAAAGAAACACCAACTCTACATCTTTGCAAGCCCAAAGGAGTTTTATGTACAAGAGGTACGTCTCTGCATCATAAGCTTCCAATAGCGTTCAAGAAATCGTTCACCCAGAGCTTCTGGGTTGCTTGTGGTGCTCAGGGACAACAGTTCCTGCTAAGTAGTTCAAGGTGAGGACTGAATGCATTCCCAACCCAGCTGAAGGCTCACCTTATCTACATTATTGGAACTGTATTACAAAACACCAAAGCCTGAAGTGCTGGCAATGGGGAAGGTGTAACAGATGACCGAGGGAAATTCTGAACATGTTAACAATAATAAAAAGTTAACCTATCCATAGCCTCTCATTGAGATCATCAGACTGGTTTTATAAGCAGTAAAATTAAGATGAATCATGTAAAATGTTTATTAGATGCATGTAAGAATCAGACTTTTAGGCCAAAGAATAGGATACTACTGAGTTACTTAAACTGCTATTCCAAGGTCAATGCCAAGAACAATAGTGATTTGTGTTGCTCATGACCATCTATGAATAATCTTATTGTAAACATAGATGCTTATAAACAGTATAATTAAGTTTAACTCAGTGTTTCTCAACCCTGGGGACTTTAAGATGTGGGGACTTCAGCTCCCAGAATTCCCCAGCCAGCATACTGGCTGGGGAATTCTGGGAATTGAAGTCCACACATCTTAAAGTCCCTAGGGTTGAGAAACACTGGTTTAATTCCTTAGTATCCTATACACAGAATGATCATCATACTTAAGAAGTAGAATGATAGCCTCGGTTTCTAAGGACGATTGTGGTACCTCTAAGCAACTGCTTCTGACCACTGATGCTAAATTCCTTTCAACGAACAGAAAAATGCCTGTTCAGAGATGTTACCTACATGAGCCTTCCTGAACACAGGAAAATGTTGATCATCATTTGGGCTGCACTGAATGAATATGGCATTGTCACAAGTGTCACAGTGCTATAAACTGGAACCAGATACTGGCAAAGGTGCTCAATTCCTTTTGACTTTCTTCCCCTTTGGCAGAATTAGGACAAAAGGAAAGACACCACTGAACCACTTACCTCATGTCTCCAAGCTTCCGGCTGATCGCGGAACCCACATTGGAAAGAGCAGCTGAGGTCCTCTGGCCCGCCTGAGAGAGTGTTTCCTGGGTCCTTTTATAGCTAGAGAACAACAAGAGTTGCCAGAGGAAGGCAGTTATTAATTGAGAAAGGCCCCAAAGGAGCAAAGGAAGGCACAGCTGGCGCTTAGACAACAGGGGGTAGGGAAGGGAGGGGCGTTTTTGAGAACATACTCTGGGTGCACAAACATTGCTGGAGGAGCACAGGTTTGCAAAGCTTTGCAACTACGGCAGGAGGGCGAAACAGGCTAGCAAACAGGTTTAAGCGAAGAGGTGTCACTTCCGAGAGGCACTCAGCTGAGGTAAGACTTTGAGAGCAGCTCTAGATACTTCAAGGTGTACGTTCCCTGGCTAGTTCCTGATAATGGGTTAAGGAGGATTAATGCTCTTTATTATGGTTCATCTGCTGTTATCAATTCTTTTTTTTTTTTGCTTTGTTTAAGGAGAACAGAAAGAAGGAAAAAAACACATATGAACATTGCTGGTATTTACCTATTAGCAAAGAGCTTATCTTCCACGTGCCTTTCAACTTAGGGCTACCATATCTGAGCTGAAAAAACCAGATTGTCTCTAGATCATCACCCTTTGCCACCACAAGATGTAGAGGACATCTGGCCTTTTGCGGTTCTATTTCTATTTCTTCTTCCACTTCTTGTGACCCCACACTTCTCCTTTGCAGCATTAAAAAAAAAAAAAAAAAGCAGATCTTCCTGACTTTCAGGAAATTCCAAAACACCTTGAGTGCGGAGAGGCTGGGGCACAGCATCAAAACTTTATTTTTTTTAAAAAAATAGTCAATACTGATGCATTGATCCAGAACAGAAACAGGCTTGTTTATGCTCAGTAAGGGAAACGCTTCCTGTCAGTTGCCATCAAACACTGCAGTTTTAAACGGTGAAAGCAGCCTCTTTTTAAGGCCTCCCCTGCCCATTGGGAGATTTCTCCAACATTTAGAACTTTCCAAGGGCATAATCTTGCTCTATTTTTTTCCCTCTAACCACAAGATTTCAAAACAAATTGAGGAAGTCACTTACATCCGCCATCACCATCAACACAAAACGTGTAGCTTGCAACTTGGGGCTTTCCAAAATGTCCCTGAACGCAACGCCCAGCACAGCTAGCTGACCAGTCTGGGAATGCTACTAGTTGTGTTCACCCCATTCCTGCTAGACAAACTTCCAACAAACCCCCTCTGCTCTCCTTTCTGAAAAAGTCTGCGCTGTGAAACCCCCCTCAGGAATTGACCAGCTACAGTTTGAACTCTGAGCTGTGCTCCATCTCCCGCAGAGACGTCCACTTCGGGTCCCAGGCAGGAAATAAAATTCTAATCGAAGCGCTGCGCAATCGGTATCTCAACTTGCAAGACGCCAGGAACCAGTTGTTCTTCTCTCCTTGGCCAGCACATCTGCAAACTTGCTGGCGCCACTGCAGGAAATACCGCTGAGGGAGCAGAAATTGGAGCGTCAGGATGGGGAAGTGGGGACGGTGGTGGAGCAGGAGTGGGTAGACCCAGGTTCTAGTCTCCTTCAGCCATGGAAGCTCAGGAGGGGCTTTGGGCCAGCCAGACTCTCTCAAGCCCAACGGCCTCATAGGGTTCTTGTTGTGGGGGAAAAAATGGGAGGAGGGAGGAGTGCTATATATGCTACCTGGAGCATCTGGAGAAAAGGCAGGCTGTGATTCTAATAATTAAATAATTATAAATAAATCATTGAGGGACACGTTAAAAAGCAGTCCACAGATAGAGATTTCATCTTGCTCTTCCTGGAGGGGAATCACAAGAAGTCAAGTCCAGCTGCTATTTTACTGTTCCCATTCTCCTACCTGAAAGCCCAATTCAGGCTCTAGCACGCCATTCCTATAAATCAGTGTTTCTCAACCTTGGCAACTTGAAAATGGGTGGACTTCAAGGCTGGCTGGGGAATTCTGGGAGTTGAAGTCCACCCATCTTCAAGTTGCCAAGGTTGGAAAACACTGATTTATAAGAACGACTTCAGGAACCCAGAGACAAAGACAAAATGTATTTCCCATTCACACAATACAGCAAGCCCCTTCTGGAATTGGTGGCTTTAACTATTGCAAAAAAAAAAAAAAAAAAGAGTTTAATCATAATTCACTGTACTGATTCACTCCTGCTAAACCATAAATTCATCACAATGTTCGCGTTCACCCATCAGGCTAAGCCCAAGCCAAACAAACCCACATTAAGTTTTTAGCAAAAGGTACCAAGTAAAACGGTGGATTCTTAGTCTGGCCTAAAGCCAACCGCGTCATCCCATCCAAATCACCAAAGGAGGATGAAGCATGTCCTTCAGAGCCACGCCATCGGGCTTCCCAACTCATAACACAACTCACACCTCTAGGCCCACGTAGTAGCAATCGCAAAGTCAGCAGAGATGCGCTGCTTCACAGGACAATCTCCAGACAACCTTCAACAGCGCGCAGGGAATCCTGCAATGCCCCCACTTTACAGGGCTATTAGATCCGGGTTGCAAAACTCCAGACAGCCACTCAAGGACAGCGTAGAGCTCCAGAGGGCACTTTTCTGTGCCTTATTTATTTGCTTGCTTGCTTCATTTATAGGGGGCCCCTTCCCAGAGACTTTGGGTAGCTAACAATGTCAACATAAGATAAAATAATGCTCAGAAACCCAACTATCCATAAATAATTTAAAAATTAAAAGAAAAAAGATAAAAGCCCAGAAAATAGAAATGTCATGCACCTGCGAGCCCCACCTTCAGTTATCGCATATTGCAAGACAAACGAGTTGGTCTCCACCATGTTTCTGAAGCTCAAGAGGGAAAAGGCTGCCCGAATCCCCACAAGGAAGGAACTCCAGAGTAAGGGAATAGCAACTGTTAATGCCTGCTTCCAAGGTCCTGTCAGATGGCATTCTTATTCAGATCAGACCTGGAGGGAGAGGGCCTATTCCATGTGACTGGACAGGCAGATGAATGTGGGAAAAGGCTCACGTTGATGAATTAATGTGAGAATAACCTGGTTATTCTCACATTAATTCATCAACGTGAGCCTTTGGAACCCTAACTGGTCCAAAGTCATGTAGGGCCTTAAAGATTCAAACCAGAACCATAAATCACCCCCAGAAGCTGACTGCCAACCAATTCAGCTCCTGAAGCAACAGGGTCACCTGACTATACAGGTAGTCCTTCACTTACAACCATTCGTTTAATAACCATTCGAAGTTACAATGATGCTGAAAAAAGTGACAAGCGTGGTCCGCAGACTTACAACCATCACAGGGTCCCTGTGGTCATGTGATCAAAATTCAGGCACTTGGCAACCGGCATGTATTTACGACAGTTGCAGCATCCCAGGGTCACATGATCACCATTTGTGACCTTCCCAGGGGTCTTCTGACAAGCAAAGTCAATAGAAGCCAGATTCGCTTAACGACCATGTGATTCACTTAATGACCACAACAAAAAGGTAATAAAATTGGGTGTGATTCACTTAATGACCACATCGCTTAGTGACAGAAGTTTCAGTCCCAGTTGTGGTCATAAGTTGAGGACTACCTGTATTAAGATATATTCATTACTGCTCAGGCCACCACATTCAGCACCAACTGCATCTTAAGGGCAGCCTCATATAGAGTGCATTATAGTAATCCAAACAGGACGTGATTAGGGCATGAGGGAATGTGAGCAGGGCCTCCCAGTCCAGGAAAGGGTGCAACTGACATGCAAGATATAGCTTTCCAAAAGCTCTTGCAGCTCAATGGCCACCTGCTCAAGCAGGAACCATATGTCTAGGACAGCGTTTCTCAATCTTGGCAGCTTTAAGCTGTATGGTCTTCAACTCCCAGAATTCCCCAGCCAGCATGGGAGGTGGAGAAGGACAAGCCCTGAGCAGCAAATACAACTCTGTTCAGAATCAAAGATGGAATTTCCTGACATCGCTAGGTCCATAAACCCAGAGCCACTCTGTCTTGGGAGGGATACAGTCAGAGTTAGTTCCTCCCCATTCAGATGCTGAATCAGGATTTCCACCACATTGCCTGTTCAGTCTGGGGAAAAGTTGCACAGGAAGTCCTCGGTTAACAACAGTAACTGGGACCAGAATTTCTGTTGCTAAGCAATGCAGTCATAACAATGTCACATGACTGCATCGCTTAGTGATAGCAGTTCTGGCATTTCTGGTTGCTGTCGTTATGCGAATCCTGCACCGTCATTAAGTGTCATGTCACGTGCCATTTGCGATCTCCTGCTGGCTTCCTCACTGACTTTGTTTGTTGGAAGCGGGCAGCAAAGGTTGCAAATGACAATCACATGACTGCAAGACGCTGCAATGTCGTAATTGCGAGCCAGTCACAAAGCACCTGGATCGAGATCATGGGACTGTGGGGACACTGCAACAGCTGCAAGTACAAGGACTGGTCATAAGTACCACTAGTTCAGCGCCATTGTACGTTTGAACACAAGATGAAGCCCTGGTCACCTCCACTGCCATTGTGCAGCTGGAGTTCAGGTTTTCTCACATCTGGGTGGCTCTGTCTGCTAAATGCGCAAGAATTCTTCACAGCAGCCCTTCAGATGGTCTTGACCAATACCCTTTACCTGGAAGGGAGTGAGTCACCTTAAAAAGGGCCACTAGGTGGTCTCTTTGCTGCTCAAATCATCACCATGTAGGCTCAAACATGGGTTCACACCAGTACTGGGCAAACATATCCGCTTCTTTGCCTAATAGTCTGAATTCTACACTGAGAAACAGGATCTTGTGACCTATATTGAGTAAGCAAGTGGAGCCAATCTGTATAATTTCTTCTGCAATCATTTGTATTTCTTATTGGCTTAACCCTTCTAGCTTTCTAGCCGCGGGAGGGTCACAGACAGGAAAACCATGACATATGCGCTCTTAGGTATATCTTCAGAGTCTCATGTACTAAACCCTGGCACTTAAAAAAAGATTTTCAAGAAGCTGTGCTTTCAGCCTATTGTCGTAACTGCACACTGAACTAAGCCATGAACAAGCCATGGTGGCCCATTTCACTCACAAGACTAAGGTGTAAATTAAGGTACACAAAGCAAAGGACAGAACTGCATCTCTTAGACACAGCCAGAATCTCTCCAAATATAGTCGTCAAATGGGTAACTGAATGAGACAGGAGGAGAAAAATGAATACAGGAGGAGCAATCATATTGATTATATTATTTAATTCAAATTTAAATAAAATTAAACACTATATTTTGGTCTGGCCCAGCCTTATTTTGTGGACAGGATCTTCGACATGTATTTTAGAAAAGAGCAATATTTGGGCCAAAAAGATTGCACATCCCCAGCCGTAATCATGGGTCACCAATCACATGGCCACATGCACACACTACTAAATCAGGCAAATCATGTTGTAACTTAATGTGATGTGGGAATGCCACCGTTTGTGTGTTTCTTGGTTGTCCACTAGCTACGGGACCATTCCATTTCCCCCCAGATCACGCTAATCTAGCCGTACTGGGGATGGACTGAAAACTCGCCAAAGAAAATCGTCCAGAACATAAACCTGTTTGGGGACTCCCAGGAGAATAATGGAACATTCTGGAGATGGTTGTTCCCACCACCCACTGAACTGTAACGCTCCATTGTCCAGGTCATAACATAATCATCGTTCTCCACAGCAGCACCAGTGCTATGAAAGGGGCTCCCTACTGAGATCAGACTGGACCCTTTGCTGGACGTTTTCAGGAAATTATTCAGAAAAGAACTTTTTCTAACAGCCTTTCAACAACGTCCCCTGCACCTCTCGTTTTTCTTATTATGCCTCTCTCTCTTTCGGCTTTGATTTCACAATTTGGATGGTAAGCTTCTTTTTAATTCTGCGGTTGCTTTTACTGTGATGTTTGAACTGCCGAGAGCGGTGAGACTGCGGCAGGATGAAAACTGAATAAATAAAAATAAGTAAAATGTGCACATAAAACTCAACTTGCCTCATCTCGACTGGGGTTTCAAAAAAGGTCAAGGTAAACAAACTTTCTTACTATCAACCAACCCTGGACAAACATCAGCAAAACAGCCCGAAACACAAAGGAAGGTTCAGCATCCCATTTCTTCACCCCTTTTCCCGATTTTTCCTGATTACTCAGCACCCAAGAAGCATTTACAGAATAGGGACCAAGCAGGAAGGTGGTTAGCGCAAGGAAGGAAGAGTTAGTGGTGGTATATAGAAGGTGCGTGCTTTATGCAGAAGGTTAAGACACTCACGCTTCTGACTGTGTTAATTTCTCATTCCAGTCCTCCAGTGTATTGCTGGCCGAAACATATCTATAAATACAACGCAGATTAGAGAACGCCTCTTTCATTTCTTTATACAATTACTAAAGGCCACCTTTTAGGAGGAAGTAACCCTTTTCTCTCCTATAAGATGCATCTGGCTTCCGGTCATCTTTGGCAGCCACGGAATATTTCTTACATATCATGATCTTGTAAGCAGGGAACACTTGACTACCATCCTGGTAAGCTGCGTTAGGAGGTGTTTGGGTTAAAGGACAAGCCAAAAACGTTAAGCGAATAAAAGATTTACCAGCAGTTCCAAGACTTTTAATGGGGGGAGGGGGGAGATGCAAATTCTTCATTTTCAGAGCAGAATTTCATACCAGCATCCTGCTTCGTGTGTGAAACTGCTACCTTGCCATCAGGTGGCTCTGAGCCATTTTAGAAATGCTTCGAGCTCAAAACATCCTGTTTCACGCTCAAGAAGGCAGTTTCGCACATGAAGCAGGATATTACATAAGCATTCCTGTTGAAACTCTGCCAGCGAGCAGTGCACCACAATACCAGGGCCATAAAAACGTATCTGAGCTCCTAACAGAGCCACGCTAAGGATGGACCCATTACTGACACCGTCCTAAATTCCAAAGACCGCACCCAAAGTCAAGCCTTCTTCATTTCTTCCACTGCTTAGGACAAGTACCAAAATAGCATCTATACCCAGTCCGACCCCAGAATGCCACCTTTTGCAAAGCACCCAGTTCCCCAGACCTGGGCTCAGAATCTTAAGCAGGGCCAGTCCCGTAATCCCAAAGCTATAGACTAGACTGGGAGGCTCTCATCCAGAGTCTGCTTCAATTAAAAGGGGAAAAAAATTAAAAGCAAGCTTAAAACAACCCTCTCCAACCTGGTGCTCCCTTGGTGTGGCTAAGAATTCTGGGATTGGAGGTTCTGACGTGCTTGGAAGGGGCCAGGTGGGATACAAAAAGTTAGAAGAATTTCAGCATGGAGCAGTGTCAGAGATTTAAACTGAATCAGTGCTTCTCAACCTTGGCAACTTTAAGATGGGTGGACTTCAATTCCCAGAATTCCCCAGCCAGCAGGTCCACCCATCTTAAAGTTGCCAAGGTTGAGAAACACTGTGAACACTCTTGCAAACAGCCCTTTTTTTTTTTTTTTTAATATCAGTCTTACAAATTGGCCCTAAGATTTGGGGGTTTTTTTAATTCAAAAGAGAAGGAAGATGGGGCACTCATTCCCCACACCAACCCCTCTGAGGAATCAGAAGCAGGCTGCTAAAACTCTTTTGGGCTTGTAAAACCTCCTTCTCCTTGTCTGTGTCGGCCATGAAAAGCGGCTCCAGATTGGAAGAGCAATGCAGAAGTTCCGCTCCTCTACTGCTCAACTATATCGTCCATCCAGACACGGTTCTTTGCCATTCACATGTTCCAGCCAAGCGGTTCCACACACGGCTATGTTATAGTTAGAAAACGACAGACACATTCAGACACAGACCCCTAGGTGCAAACGTGCAACTCGCCAGCACACACACCAGCATTCCCCTGTTATGCACCACTTTGCTCTGGGCAGATTAAAATCCTTTTTCTCTCGCACTGGAATCTCCCCTAATCTGCCCGAACTTAGTCCAGTTTTGCTCTCTTCACTTCACTGGGAGCCATGATCAGGCTAAGGCATTGAAAAAGAAAAGATACCCCATTGTGCCCTAGGGGCAAGATAGGACACAGAATAATGCTGTACGATAAATCACTTTTTTTTTTCCTGTGTGGTCTGGTAACTGAGTGGAATTGCACCAAGAAACCTCAGGGAAGCCTGCAAGATATTTAGCGTCAAACATGACCAAGGAATGCATTTCCCAGCAAAGAATAAGTTTGAAAATTAATAAGCCAAAGGCCTCAGTGTGAATCTCCCATATTCCAAGCGCGCAAGCAGCCTCTCCTGCAACCAAAATAAGGGGGTGCAGGGCCGAGGGGGGAGGGTCAGAGCCAGGAAGAATCAGACAGTGCTTGCAAGGTGGAAGGAACTCACACGTCCGACTGGGTCACCTTTTCATTCCACTCTCCGAGTTTCTCAGAGGTTTTCACATAGCTGGGAACAAAAACCCGGGGGTCAATCACACTTTAAAAAAAAAAATGGGGAGACTAAGAGCTTGAAGAGAGGGGAAAAAAATGGCCCAATCCCGGGAGGAAGAAGAGGAGATAAATGCTGGAAGGGAAAATAGCCCTGGGCTACGTTCCTGAGAGAAAACACCGCACAGCACTGCAACGTACAGCGTCCTTGAGGCTATCTCAAGTCCCAAAGTGCATGTTAATGTTGATGTTTGTAGAGTCCAGCTGTAATTTATTATAAATCCAATTAAAAATACCAAAAATGGGCCAATTTCATCTGTTTGTGGCTCAAAACCACAGGGGCTTCTATTGAGTCACCATCATTGTTAGCACCAATGCCTGTGATTTAGAGAAACAGTCCCCTCTAGCAGCCTTTCTCAACCTCGGCGGCTTTAAGATGTGTGGACTTCAACTTCCAGAATTCCCCA